TAAATAGTAAACTAGATTAGATACGTACCGTAAGTTATTTAAGTACCTACTTACTTGGGTTACTTTGGCCTTGCAGGATAACTTTGATCCAAACTTTCCAACCAATGAAAAGCTTTTGGGCGTTTTTTTCTAGGTTTTTATTGGTAAAGAGGTTTGGATCAAAGTCACACCGCCGCGTCTTAGTAACCCCAACTTAATCGATACTATATAAGCAATCAATTATTTGCAATCCATTCATCCCTTTAAAGACAAAAAAAACAAAAGAAAAATACATAATGAAATTATAATAACTAGGTTGGCTAGCGTAGCAATAGTTTTGTGTAGTCAGGAAAGACATACCTACCATCGGTAGATGGTATGTCCTTCTTGACTTCTTTTAATAGGTACCTACCATCGGGGCACTCAAAGGACTACTAAACTTTATAAGTTTGGTAGATAAATACTCAAAATCACAAATGAAAAATAAACAAGTAAAAATCCTATTACATATTTCTGATCCAGTTTATCATGACTCTCACAAGTCAGTCAATGTCAACTAAAGGATTAAAGACATAATGCTGATTAGGTTAGGTTTTTTTTACGGTTTACAACCTCGCTCTGCAAATGTAATCAGGTCGGAGCATCATTATAAAAAAAGAACTGATTTAAATTTGAATTAAGGAAGGCAATCGTTGACGTATTTAATGGCCTCTAATTTAATTTTGTGTTTTATTATTCTTTTTAAATGGTACCATGCATTGCGAAATCCTTATTATAGTGTATAAATAATAATATTAATTTTAATTCACTTTTTGTTTTTAGTAGATCACGAAGACCACTTTTACCTAATTAACTTGAACTTACATTAAAATTTATTTAATTCTGAATACATAAATGCGGAATGCCTAATTAAGAGTAATAAATAACCAATCTTTAAGTTAGTAGAAGGCCTTTTTTGATAAAATCCTCATTTTGTTGGTCATGGGGACACAAACCTATTGAGAGGTTCGAGTTTCCATGTTTAACATAAACAGATGTCAAAATTCTCAAAGTTGAATTGCATCACTCAAGGCTGTATGGAGGTAGGTAAGTTCATTCTAAAAGGTCGCTTGAATTTAGGTAGTAGGTAGGAGTTATACCTTATAAAAATGACGAAAAGATACATCCATAATAATTTTTAAATAATGCACATTAGCTGACGTACCACGTGGAACGTTTTAATTTATACAAAACTCAACGACTGTATCAATATCATAATTCCATATGCAAGCCTTATTAGCCATTGTAACGATTCAATTTTTTGACGATTATATTGTCAAATCTTACAAATTGTTCACATCCGAGGACGTAGGAACCCTTCACTCAGGTTTAAATACAATTAGCGTCATTGCCAAACCACGGCGCGCCGTTAGCAACCATGTTTCTTTGTTAGCATAACTACAAACAAAAACAGCCTGGCACCTATTTTCATGTGTGCCTAGGTAGGTGTAATCAATGGCGAAGCGCGGTAATTACGTGTAGATTGTGTCAGGTATGTACATATAAGATTATTTACGAATATTATATCTACAACGCCGCCATTATACCATCTAAGTCGGCCACACTATAGTAAATCGTTGTCTGTACATTCAGAACTATTACTATTCGATTTAGACCTTGACCAAGTAGCCTGTGGGGTGTTTAGACTGCTTAGTCTTTATAAGTATAGACTGGAAACAAGTAATTTCTTACAAACACATCTTTATTCCTTCAAAGTTAATTACGTTATTATAAGTAAAGTCCGAGTGACCTACGGCAGTACCTACCTACCTAGATGCAAAATAATATTATATTTAAAATAGGAAGTAAAAATACACTATCTCACTCTAGGAACTAAATATTGAAGGCAATCTTGCATGTAACCGAGCGGGTCACTGCAACTTTTGTACGTTTAAATTGTTATTGCATTCTGTCTAGTCGGTCCAATTATTGTCTCCGTTGCTTTATACCTTATATATGTATGGTAGATTATAGTAATTGTTTGATCAAATAACGGTGTCAAATCGTGCGTAAATCTGTATACTAACAAGACGTCAATTTAAGAGCTTCCATTTAATGTGATAATTGTAATAGGTAAACGAGCAGACGGATTACCTATTGGTAAGCAATTTACTCCGCCCATGGACGCTCGTATCAACTCTTGTCAAGTCCGTGGAGTGCTAATACTAAAATTAAAAAAAAACTGCTGTCCCTACTTTAAGTACCTACCACAAATAGGTACCTACAGTTGTAGGGCTGTTGTCGTGGTGGCCCGGAGGTTAAGGAGCCCACTTCTCATGCATGAGGGTGTGGGTTCGAAACCTGGCAAGTACCAATGTGACTTTTTCCGAGTTATATGTACTTTCTATGATTATTTAGACACCACTGACATACGGTGAAGGTAAACATCGTGAGGAAAACTGGACTTATAATTTCTAATTATATGTTTGAAATCGCCAACCCGCATTGAGAAGCGTGGTAATTAATGCTCTAACCTTCTCCGTATGAGAAGAGGCCTTTGCTCAGCAGTGGGCACTTATAGGCTGATGATGATGATTGTAGGGCTGGAAGCAGGCGAAGGAATGGGACGGTTTTTAGTCAGTAGGAGTCTAACACTCTTTTCGCCCCTCTCTGGGTAGCGTCCCAGGGCGGAAGACAAACATAGACGAATGCCCTCAAAAAAAAAACCCTAATTATCTCTGCATTGTGCGTCATTTTTAAAAGTATCTACTGCATAAATGAATACGTTTTTCGGTTGGGCAGAAGCAGGCAGGGCGAACGTGACTGAACTAAAATATTTATGTTCGAATTCTTTAGGGATTCCGAGTTTCAATAGGCTAGAGGTCACATACTCACTCACTTGGTTACTCCAGAAAAATAAGTTACTTTTTCAGCGCGTAACATGGCAGTTCAGACTTTTAAATGTGTGTACAATTCCTAAGTTTTAAATTTTGTGTATAGCAAAATCTAAAGTGTGGTAGAGAAATAGACAAAACAAGAGCAATAAATTCACCTACTTTATCTCTAAGTATTAGATTAGCTACCCGCCCCGGCTTCGCACGGGTGCAATGGTTTTTTTTTGTGAGGGGAAAATCATCAAATGACTTCTCCCGCCCAGGGCCGGGCAGGAGGGAGTGTCAGACTCTTACTGACTAAAAACCGACTAAAAACCCCCCTGTTCCTTCTCCTGCTCTATGCCGAGGTCGCGGTGCCTCATTGCGCTTACCCCGCAACCCCGGCTGAACATCAGCCCTTTAGGGCCCCGTCTGTGGTCGTCTACTTAATGGCTCTTTGAGGCGCGCGCGGAACGCTATGCGCCGTACGCTCGGGTCTGGTTCTGGTCGGGCGGCGAGCTGCCCTTACTCGCCGACCGCAGGCCACGGGTGCAATGCTGATACTAAATTTCTCCACTATGCATGTTATTATACAAACCGAAACTTTAACCTACCTATTCAATAATTCTAGCTATTTAAAAAAACCGCAAGAAAATCCTTTGCCTACTTTTAAATATTTTATTATTTAGAACTTGTTTAGGAGGCCCAATACTCCCCTCCTCCAATCCCTCCTCAACCCCTAAATCTCCAAAGCCGTAAACCCCAAAAGGTCGGCAATGCACTCGTAACTCCTCTGTTCTTGCGGGAGTCCATGGGCGACGCTGATTACTTACCATCAGGTTATCTGTATACTCGTTTGCTGTCCTATCACATAAAAAAACTTATAAGAGTAAGTAATTAAGTACCTACCTACCTATTAATTTTAATATCATCGTATTTTTACAGAACGCTGTGACCCACAAGAAGCACGAAGAGAAATTCGACAAGCAGACTGTTGCCTTCACATGGACTCCTCCCGCTGGATTCAACGGAGAAGTCAAGATCAGGTAAATTAAATTATATAATTTTATTAATTCTCATTGCTGAGGGAAGGCCTCTTCTCACAAAGTTAAGGAATAAGTATGCTTGACTAAGACGGATTGACGATTTCAAATTTAGGTATATTTTGAAACTCCTCAAAACCTTTCTATTATCATTGGTGTCTAAATAAACTTAAAAAGTACTAAATGGGTACTTATTACCTAGGTACTCCATTAAAAAAACAGAAATGTAGATAGAGATTCGTAACAGTTACTCATTAATTATTTATTATTAAGGCTGGCGTTTTATTATAAAATATACTTTTATTTGACGCCTCAAAGACTCAGAGAAGTGTTTCATTTGCTAATGGATCTATTTTTATAAACGCCTCCAGGATTTATACACAAAAGGATAGCTATTAATAAAGCTTTTGTTTGATCTAAATTTACCTAAGTACCTCAAAAACAAAGGACGGTAGATGTTTAAGTAGTTACCAAACCAACTACGTAAACCAAGTAAACACTAGACAATACAATATATATTTTTAGATATTATTAGATACACAGGAGACAAGGGACGTCAGAGGGTTAAAAGGACACGAGTTCATAACCCGTGAAAGTCATTCCAGACTTTGGTAACTTTATAATGCATAAACACGAACGATGCGATATGAATTAACAGAATTAATTCGAAAATGGAGTGTGTGGGTGTTCGAAATTCAAACGTGGTTCGTTCCTTTGTTCGTGAATGCGATCGATTCAATTAAGTTGCCTTGGGTAAATTAGGTTCAATTAGGTATGTTGTGGAGCATATAATGTATTGAAACCTGTGTATATTATAGATACTTGTATATGTATGTTGACAATAGCCCGTACTTTTGTCGTCTATAACTAATTCTTTTTCTTTTCGCAGAGCAACCATCGCCCTGAACGGTGCCGTATTCTGGGTGGGCGTCGAATCAGCCCCCATTAAAGTATCCAGCTAATTTATTTAATTAAGCCCCAAGAGTATTATTTTTTTGTAATTTATACCTTTCTCACATTTCTTGTGTATTTGTTTGTCTTCTATTTCGACATAAGATATTTCACAAAATAAAATAATTAATTATAAGGGTTGTGTTTCTTTTTTGCGTTGGTAACAAAACTCAAATAAATTTTAACAAATACTTTATTTCGAACATAGCACCTAGAATTTTTGTCTTCGAGATCCGTTTACAAAATTCTTGTCTCAATAAATACGAGTAGAGTAGGATAGGAACTAGTAACTTGTATCTACAGTAGAGCACTACTTATTTTTTAGTTACAATATTCTCTTATAATCACTGGCAATACTAAACGAAAATTTCATTTTCAATACTTTTTAAAATAAATTTTCTTTAATATCTAATTTTCTATTTACACTTAAACATGTCTCAATTTTGTTTAGAAATTTAATTTGAAATATCATACAAATTATTATAAATAGCTGCCTTAGGCCGAAAATATACAGAGTAATTTAAAAATAAAATAAATAAATAATGATGAAGATTTTATCTAAACAATTATTAGCTCTATCAGCTTTTTATAAATAAATATTAATATTATAAATATCTATCGTGCTCATACTGTAAATACAGGCACAAAGCTTTCAAAGACTTATATGTATTTAAATTTTGAATTGCCATAGTCTGTGTTCTTACAAGATATGCATAGATATTCGAGTAGGTTTTATTTTTGCATGTAAGAGTGGAAGGGGACGGACATTTTGGAATATAATGAGATATCACAGTTCTATTTAATTTTAGTGCTATTACACAGACTTGTAAGAAAGATACTCCAATCCATTGTTTACATTCAATAATGAGACAAATGAAAATCAAGGGATATATTGTAAGAATGAATTGGAGTATAGAATCTCTCGATCCCCTTCACCTCTCCAAACTTCACTCATTTCCAAGGATTCCAATTTTAAGTCTTTGACCAAGCTTGGTATTGGAATAAAGCTCGAATTCTATTCACATTGAAGCAATTCCGATACAAACCGCTACACAATTTGATAAACAACTATTGTTACATTCACTCCCACAACACATGAAGTCACAGTTACATTACAAATTTCTTTGAAATAACAATTCAAAGGAATTTCTCATAACACATCCAGAATTTAACAACATTGTGTCTTTACCAGAAAAACTAAATTGTAATGAAGTACTAAAAGCCATTCCAATGTATCTAAATTCATTCATGAGCATAAGTAATTTTCAAATATTTTTATAACTAAACCATCTATGCAGTAGCATGAAATGAGATCAAACTGCAAATTTGTATATAAGTAACATAAAAAATAGCCGCGAAAAATACGTGATACATAAATAGTGCAGAACTGAGACTTGCAAGTACATTAAACTACATTGGTATCTATTCTAACAACTATGGAAGATGATATCTGATTACCTATGAATATAATATATTGTGTGTTATGTAAATGTATAGAAAACAGTAATTGACTACTACACTAAACATGTAATTCCATTATTCAAATTAAGTTATTATAAGAAGAGATTTTATTTAAGTAACTACATGATGGAAGATTTAAATTGCAGACAATTCATGTGTTTAAATGGATATGTGACATCCCATTACTCTATAGATAGGTAATACAACTGATCATTATATAAAATGTGTGGTGTACATCCTGTTGTGATATAAATATAACTATAAACTGGCAAGATAAGGTCATATAAAAATGTGTGTCTGTGAGAAAGGCAATTTGGTGAGTGTTACCATCATATACACACATACAGTCATACCTAATACAGACTAATCATTACCACAATCTCAGTTTCTGTCATGATGTACATATTATCAGATTAAGTCACTTGTGTATTTATTATCAGCAGAGTACCTGTTCGCATAATACATTTAGACAGCCTTTATATTTGTACAGATGCATTTCAAATAAAATAAAATTTACCACCTCAATACACCTTGAAACAATAAATACTTACGAAATAAATAAATACACCTACATCATAGATAACATATTAAAATGTAATAAGAAATTAAATCATCATTGGTCTAAAATAAATGCACTTCAATTTAAAAGTCTTACACCTAAATATAAAACATCACAGTTAATACTGAATAAGTAGTAAATAAATACATAGAATAAGTTGTTATTTTATATAGGCTATCATTGGTTCTGTATGAAATAGTTTTGCCTTTTGAGCTGTCTGTACAAAGAGATATACTTCCCTGCAGCAGAAGTTCTTGGAACAACATATTGCTTACAGAAAAGTTTGGGATCTCTAGCCTTCTCAGAGAGCTCTCCGCAGTCCAGGGCTCGCAGGAATGCAAGTACAAATGTAAAGCAATTGTGTCTTTCTTCATTGTACCTTTCAGCCTCCCACAGAGGACTCTGGCTCACCTGGAACAACAAACCATGGTAAATAAGTAATTTATTGAATCAAAATAACTTTATTTTGTGTCCATTAGTATATCTTCATACCTTGAGAAGAACACTGTCCCAAATCTCATTCCACAACTCATCAAACTGCTCTAACAGCAGACACTGGTCCCAATCTGAGCTAGAGTCGAAGCTACTCCATTTCTTAGTCATGGGGTCTACACCACAAATCCCCTCCTCACTAAACTCCACAACACAGCCTTGAGAATTAGTCACTCCTATGTGTAAATCTTTGGAATTGTAGTAGTCACTGTAAAGAATTAAAAAGAAGTGAAGTATATGCGATTTGATAAGGTTGTGATTCATTTTACGGGTTATAAACTATTAACGGAAATGAGGCATACTTTGGCACGTAGCAACAATTAGGTATAACTTACTTGAGAAAATCGCCGTGAGTTGGCTTCATGACGATAGCCCGAGGATGCTGAGATGCTTTAACGAACGGGTAAGGAACCCTAAAACAAAATTTGGGACACTTAGCAACAACCTCCATCAGTCATGCTAATCGAAAAGCCGTTAGTTATATAAACATATCGTTACCTGAAGGGCAGAAGGTTGTAATCATATCTATCCAATTTTTGATCACAAACAGGGCATTTTTCAGGTATAATAGTGCAAAATACTTTGTGATCACAATGGTGGAAACAAAGAATACCCGGATCCATTTTTACACAATGAATTAAGCCGAATTTTCAATGAAACAGTCGCTTATAATAGTATCACAACAATCGTTGATTGATGAATTTGCTTTGAGCAAAATAAAACTGTGAACACTAGCAGAACAACTTAATGACCAAGCAAAAATCTAATGAGAACCTCATAAGAACTTTGCCATTGTCTACCTTTCACAACTCGACTCTCGCTTGAAACCTTTCTACAAAGCAAGCTGAGGTAACGTTCGAAACCATAACCTACTAATAACACGAAAATTCAGAAGTATTATTATAGACGCTGAAAATTTACGTTATTTATAATGTCAGCCACAAGTTATATTTATTTGCTATTTACTTTTAGTTTTATTATTTTATCGAGAATTCATTAATAAAAAATGCCGATTAGATAAATGGAAACCTTTACGTCAATCATAATAATTTCGTCGGCACTTGTTTGAAACACTATGTTTCGAACGCAAGTAGACGCCTTGAACGGCGATTGGATGGTTATACAGCTGTGAACAGATGATTGTTGTGCGCATTTCTATTGGTTAGAATATTTGTCTTTGTATCCTAAGATTGGCCAAAACAATTCTTAAGTATTGGCGCTGAAATTCAAATTTTGATAAGTTGTAAGAGAACTTGTAGAACTTAGGTACTAACTTAATATAGGGAAAAGTAAATGTTCCTGGTCTTGAAAACTTTAATAAAAAAATGTACTTAGCTACCTATATTACCACATTTACCGTAATCTAAGTTTTGTACCTGAAAATCATCGGTGAAACTAAAATAGTCACCACAGAAATTAAAATAAATCATTATTTTTACATTAATTATAAAAATGTACGTAAATAATTAATATTTTTTTAAATAGGACTACTAATTTCCTTATTATTTTGAAAACAAGCTGCAGTTATGACGTACTTAGTCATAGTCATCTGACTTACATAGTCATAACTGGAGCTTTTTCCACTTTGTTATCAAGTATTTCATAATATTTTGTGGCCTATATGGTAGCAATACGTGTTTCGTTCATGGTGTCGAAATTTTGTCAATAATCGTTCATCACGGAGCGTTGTATTGTATGTTTACCGGTTACCATAGTAACAAGCACTGGCGGTAAACCACACCTCGCCCATGAGACCCAGTTCTTTCGACAGTGTGCGCTGTTAAGCGTGCGATCCTTTGTTAGGATACTTCCTACCATGTACCATCATAGTTAACTGTTTTTTAACTAATGCGTATGTGATTATAAAATACATGTGCTCTAAATAATTTTAGGAAGTGATTACATAGAAAAATCTGTGTTCAATTTAAATATTTATGACCAAGTTTCTGTCATGTCATTGAACTTTGTATATTTTTTAATCGGTTGAGCTTGACCACGGCATTGTTGTACAAGTTGACACGAATGCATAGAAATCGCGAAGTTTCTTGATCATGATGTTTTTGGGGAAGGTGAAGGGCTTATTACAAACAGTTTGGTGGTTGCTAGCAGCAGCGAAGGTGGTTACCGCGGGGATATCCTGCCTCAGTAGCCCCTGCCTCCACGGTATTTGTATTGATGACGTAAACACGTAAGTAACCCACATATTCATATTTCATTCTTACCCATATCAACGGCCCATGACTATGGACCTCCTCTACATGAAATATGAATTTGCCATGATCTCCAAACGGATCGCCAACTTGGCAGACGAAACTTGGCAAAAGTTTATGTTTATGAGAGAGCTCGATTTCTGTCCCTTAATTAATCGCTTCTTACGGCACCCGATTGAGGACTACCTAAATATATTCTACACATCCATCTCTAAATGGCATCATTTCATTAAAACTATAATAAAAATAAAAACCTAGTTATACCTACACGCAACGACACGTGTCTGTTTCACTGTTTACAGTTCTTTTCGTAAATATATAATTGTGCCTGACCTCGCTAACATTTCCAGGAAACTGCTTCGCTTAGTACCTAGGTACGTAATTATTGCGGCCAACCGATAGTAGATAATTCAATTTACGAACTACCTATTCATTTACCTATGTAGTTACACTTAATTAGGATATCGCAACACGACAGTTTTGTTAATGTTTTAGCATGCACTTATTATCTATAAAAAACTATTTGATTCAAACAAGATCCAACGTCAAAAGGTCTCCAATTTGTCGCATTGTAAAATATAATAATAATAAATATGAATATATTACGTAAAAGCTAGTAAAAAGGTATTCAAAATGTCACACATCATCATCCTACCAGCCTTATAAGTGCCCACAGCTGAGCAAAAGCCTCTTGTCATCTCAGGAAGAATGAGCATTAATCACTATGCTTGCTCAGTGTTTTTTTTTTCTTGTGAGGGGAAAATCATATTATGACTTCTCCCGCCCAGGGCTGGGCGGGAGGGAGTGTCAGACTCTTACTGACTAAAAACCCTCCCGTTCCTTCTCCTGCTCTGGGCCGAGGTTGCAGTGCCTCATTGCGCTTATGCTCAGGGTGGATTAGCGATTTTGAACTTATAATTAGAAATTATAAAGTCCAGGTTTCATAATAATGTTTTCTGTCACCGTAAGTCAATGGTGCCTAAACAATCAGAAAGTACATTTAACTCTAAAAAGTCACTAGTGAGTCACTGAGTGACAATATCAAAATGTTAATCCTGTGCTTAAATATTTACAGGACATACTCATGTTACTGTGTGGACGGTTACACCGGAGTTCAGTGTCAAACAAACTGGGATGAATGCTGGTCTAACCCTTGCCAAAATGGAGGCACCTGCATCGATGGTATTGCTTCATACAACTGCTCATGCCCTGACGGATTTATAGGTACGTTAAAATTAAAGTTTTGGCAATGATCTGTGTTCTCTAGATGACGCCATTGCGGTAAATAGCATTGGAATTCAAAACAAAATTGCAGCAAAGTCTTCGTTTTATAAACTTGCATACTTATTACGCCTGTACCGTCCAGCTGCTTTGTCTAGCTAAGAAAACTGTTATTATAAGATAATTCTGGTGTAAACTATCATTTGGGTCAATCAACTACTTAATCTTTATCATTGGTGTCTTTACCGATGTAGCCAATAAAATTAAAAACCAAAAGTTAAAGTAAATTTAACTACTTACAAATATTCAGATTACAATTACGAGTATACCTAAATAAAAATTTTAATACTCTGCAAAGCAGACATTCGTGAAAGGAAACTATAATCCTCATTGAATCAAAACTATTGAGATGGTTAAATATGTCACCCGAGAATTTAAAAATGGCTTTTCGAATTGAAATATGTAAAGGTTCAGAAAACATGGCTTTAGAAACTCTAGGAAGGGAAATTTTAGACAGACCGACAGTGTGTTAAGATAACAATCTAAATTGACGTAAAAGTATTGATCGACCAACGTACATACAGTGGGTAGCTAAGTACCTAAATAAATGTAGGATACAACACAACACAAACTGTTCACCTCCGAATTAGGGTCACACGGCATGTATGAAAGCAATCACATTAATACATTACATCGTGCTTGAGGACGACGAGGCAAGTTGGGAATCTACATCAGTAGGCCCAAGTCATTCTAAATAAGCGATAGATAAACATCATTGGTGCTGCAAAATAAAACAAAAATGTGAAGAGGTATCTTAGGAGTTGCTGGGCAAGCGCCATTATGTACCACAACCTCGGCCTTAAACAGAAGTCTTAGGGTGCTTTTTGGTCAGTAAGACTCTTCCTCTCGCTCCGATCAGGGCTAAAAAAGTTAATGATATTCCCACTCAAAAAAAGCTTAGCTCTTGTACCTAAAGTCAAAAAAATCTCTACCTTAAACCATACAGAAGTCAAAATCTAAGCGTATGGATTCAAATTTGAATATGGCCATTAAGCTAAACTAAATAAGTACTACTTTAAGTTTTCGTTTAACATTTTAGGTGACAATTGTGAGACTAACTACAATGAATGCGAATCCAACCCTTGCCTTAACAACGGCACTTGTATAGACATGAACAATGGATACCTTTGCTCCTGCATACCCGGGTTTTCTGGAGATCATTGTGAGCTGGACGTAGCTGTATGCAACTCCACGGAAGAAGTTCGTTGCTACAACGGAGGTCAATGTATCGAGGGGCCTGGCTTTAAATTTTATTGCAAATGCTTACCCGGTAAGTAATGTTATCAATGCGACGTCGATCGCATTATTGTCTTGCCTCATAGTGACAGTCACGCGATTGTCAAATAAAGATGCTCATTCAACAATGGAACATTTCATTTTCAACTAAACCCTAATCCTTCAAAGTACGAATAACATTTCCTTTGTTTATTTTTAGAACAGAGAAAATATTAATATTATTTTTTCTTTTAAAGGCTGGGCGGGACCAAAATGTGAAGACCAAATAGATGAATGCGAATCAAATCCTTGTCAGAATGGAGGTGTTTGCATCGATGTGCACGCAGATTACATGTGTGCATGTGCTTTTGGTAAACAAAAAACAAATTATAATCAACGTTAATTTCGAAATTTGAATTATGTAATTATGTTTGTTATATTTCAGGTTTCACAGGAAAAAGTTGTGAAGTCCAAATAGAATTTTGTGACGAAAACTCATGCAGTAACAATGCTTTATGCGTTGTAGAAGATGGCGCCAGAGTCTGTTATTGCGTTCCCGACTATCATGGAGAGAGATGCGAACTACAATACGACGAATGTTTACTGGGACCCAGGTAATATCTAGGTTTTCTTAAACGAACAGAAATCAGAAAAAATGTAGTTATTGAACTTTGTTTGTTTGTTTACAGGTGCATGAACGGTGGAACATGTATCGACGGTGTAGATAATTTCACATGCTCATGCCCACCGCGTCTGACTGGCCCATTATGCGAATGTCTCATACTTGACGATGAGAGTTATGATTGTGAATATGTTAGTCCAACACCTCTAACAAGTTCCACGCAATCAGTGCTAACAACTTTGATAGAAGAAACTACGACTCCAACGGTTTATACTGAGATGCCATCTACATATGCTCCAAACGATACAACACTTATAACTACTGATAGTGAAGCAGTGCGAACTACAGTAACAGATACAAGTACTGAGAAGGAAACAGTTTTTACAGCTACAACAGTTGTGACTGAAATAACAACAAAAGTAGATGATATAAGTAGTACTCCGGAAGAAACAACAGGAACTAGTGAATCTACAACAACGAAAGCAGGAATTTCAGAACTACCAGACCACGAAGAGACAAGACCGACTATAGAGTCAGATAATGCAAAAACAGATACTACCACTGACGACACCGTTAGTACTACACAGTCACCTACTACTGATTTCACGTCTAGCTCCACAGAAACCACTAAATTTGATATACCAATAGAAACAACTAAGGAAACCACAGAAGAAGGTGCATCTACACCTTCTGGGACCACTCCTGGTACAACGGAAGAAGTTCAAGAAGAATTAACAACTACACCTAAAACCGATGTCAGTACAGACCAGATGTTTACAGATGTTCCAACAGACCGCCCAGGAACTGATTTACCTACTGGCATTTCGTTTACTACTGAGGCTGTAGAAGTTAGCAGTGGTAGTACTAGTAGTGGCAGTACTGAGATTTTGACCACAGCGCAGTCTGAGTGCACTGATTCAATATGTAACGGTCATGGAAGCTGTATCAACACTCCTCATGGAATACGGGTATGTAATCATATGTATAGTAGTTCTGTTTTTAAAAAGTCAAATAAAGAAATAGAATACTCGTCAATAGTCCGTCAGTCTATCAGTAAAACTAGTTTTTCGTTTCAAAATGTGGATTCGAATGGAAAATCCTCGTTCAGTATGAAAAACGTTTGTTTTATATAATTTGATAATCATGATTGATTACGACATCTCTTTTTATTCTGTAATTTTTTTTAGTGCCATTGCAATTTCAACTATGGCGGAAGATTTTGTGACGAACCAATAACTATAACATCAGCAGCATTTGGAGGCAATTCGTTTATAGCGCACAAACTAATTAACGCTACATCTATCAACATAGAATTCAACGCAAAAACTCTCATTACGGACGGACAAATATTGCACGCGGATATAGCGAAAGGAGTTTATATGCAGCTATACATGAATTCAGGATTATTGAAATTTAAATTTTCATGCGGCTACCAAACGATGCTTTTGAGTGAGCTAAAGACTTTTGTCAATAAAGGTTATCCGATGAAAATTGAAACGAGGTGAGATATTAAATTCTTTTATTTTCATCTTATATTTTCTGCAGAATTATCATCAAGTTATGTTATGAGTAAATTACGATAATAATAGGTATAGTTAGTTGTGAGTACTGGGGAATTCGGAGGGTTACTACCGTGAGACATAGAATGTTTATTGAAAATAATGACAGTCACGTGAATTAGAAGGCGCACATGAATAAGTGACCCCTTGTGACTCGAAACTAAACGAGCAGACGGATTAGCTGATGGTGAGCAATCAGCACCGCCCATGGACACTCGCACCAACGGAAGAGTAGCGAGTACGTTGCCGACCCTCTGGGGATTAGGGTTTTGGGGATTTAGGAATTGGGAGAGGGAAAGGATTGGGCCTCCGGTAACCTCACTCAAACGGCGAAACCACAACGCTATACCAGAAAAACCAGTAGAGCTTTTCTCAGTTAATTCACGTGATAAACTTGTTGTTTTCAATTATTTTTTATTTCGAGGGTAATCATTACCATTTTATAATATCAGTTAACATGTAATTTAAACTCGTTAAGTTCTTAAATGACTGATAATGTTGTTTTGTCAAGACAAGAATAAAGGCCAAAAATAATTGATTCATTGATATTAGATTCATTTTAAAATTACAATTATTATATTCTCTTTTTTCAGGCTAGATTTATACCCAGAAGATCAACATTGTAACGCGACACTACGTCTTAATGACACAGTGGCTATGAGTGGTGGTCAAGTGGCGAATATCACAACTCTCGAGCATAACTCCACATTGTACCTGGGCAACTCCAGGGAAGTCAAAGATAGCGAGAGCAAACCATTCATTGGATGCATTCGGGATCTGATCGTTAGTCTTTCATTTGTTTTATGTCTTCCTTTATTCCTTTCTTTGTACTGGGCTACATTTTCCCTAAGGTCTTTTTTTAAGAGATGGGGCAGCAAACGGCTTGGCGCATCACCTGATTCTAAGCAATCGGCGCCACACAATGCATACTGCCCAAGATCCTAAAACACGTGAAGTTTTAGAATGGTTTCGAACGGTTGGGGCTTGGGTAACTTCACCCACAAACGTTTTTCAGGCATTAATTTCTGGCATTTCTGGTATAGCGGGCCTGTCTCATGACATAGGACAAAACGGCAAACGAACAGACGGATTACCTGATGTAAATAGTAGGTGCCGCCCTTAGACCCTCACAAAGTCACAATACCAAAGGAGTTAGTTAGTGGTACTAGAAGTGCATTGCCAGCCCCATTTGGGTTGTTAGGGATTCCGTGGTAGAGGATGAGCCTCCGCTAACCTCCCTCACACAGCGAAACACAACTTACGTAAGTCTTACTTACGTGAGTCTCTCTACCTACTCTACTCCGCTCGAGCCGGCCCGTTCGTGTCGAAACATGGGTCTCCCACACTTAAGTTTCTTCAAGTCATCTTGTCTTTAAATCTAGGATCATGGGAACTTAGTGCTTCTCCTCTAGATCTCTGGCCATTACTTACAGGTAGGTAAAAATATCAATAATGTGCTATATAAGAATTCATTGCTTTCTTTCAGGTAAACGGTGAGAAACGCGAAGTATTTGGTGATGCCTTAGATGCTGGTGAAGTAACGGAGTGCCTGTCCCTCTCATGTCTCTCGGGCCCTTGTCTCAATGGAGGCTCTTGCAGTGACCACCACGATGGAGAGTACACCTGCTCCTGTGCTAATGGGTGAGTTAGGAATGTAGTGTTCAGTAACTTTTTAAAGATTGGAATAATGTTTTTTGGTCCCAAGTCATTGATATTTTAAGGATAAAGTATGTACTTAGGTAGGTACTTTACGATATTTTTCGGGAAAAAGAGATAGAAAACTCGATATATAGAAAATGATGGTTGTTAGCCAATAAAAATTTTATTTGATAAGCCAATGCCAATCTTCTTTGGGACACCATTACCTACGTACAATAAGCTAAACGTAAAATTAAAGATTAGTCTATACTTATATTATAAAGAGAAACTTTACATTTGTAATTTTGTAAGTTTATATGTAGGGCGTAATCTTTGGAACCGCTGGTCGGAATTCCAAGATTCTTTCACTGATAGATAGCTACAACTACAATATTCCTGAGTGCTATAGGCTATAAATCATCACGCTACGATTTAATGGAGCTGAGCAGCGGGTGGAACCGCGCGAGAGTAGCTAGTATAAAATAAAGTCGCTCTCTAGAAATGTCAATAAGTATATACATATGCACTCTTAATAAATCTTTAAAACTACACAACAGATTTTGATGCTATATTAATATATAGAGTGGTTGAAAAGGAAGCGTTATATCTATTATAATATGTATTACATACCTAGTGGAAAACAATAGTATTAGCATTGAACACGTGCGAAGCCGGGGCGAGTCAATAGTATTAATCTAAAAAGAAAAGTTCTTTATAAAAACATGTTAAAAACGTCATCTCAATATACCTATTTTACAGTTGGCTTGGAGAGCATTGCAACGAATCTGTCTGCGAGAACAACCCCTGTCAATCTGGTGGTAGCTGCGTCCGTCACCCGGGCAGTGGGTTCCTCTGCCTGTGTCCCTACGGGAAACATGGCATCTTGTGTGAATACAGTGAGTAACTCAAATATCATCATCAGCCTATAATAAGTGCCCACTGCTGACCAAAGGTTAGAGCATTAATCACCACGCTTGCTCAATGCGGGTTGGCGATTTCAAACTTATAATTAGAAATTATAAGTCCAGGTTTCCTCACGATGTTTACCTTCACCGCCTGTCAGTGGTACGTGTCTAAATAATCATAGAAAGTACATTTAACTCGGAAAAAGTCACATTGGTACTTGCCAGGTTTCGAACCCACACCCTCCTGAATGAGAAGCGGGCTCCTTTACCTCCAGACCACCACACATAACTCAAACACAATAGGTATATTTTATTTCCAGATAGTACGAATGCACTTCTGAAAATTGTAATGACTCAGTTAAAAGAAAAAGTAAAAGTATTGACCCAATCAGATTTAACCTTTTTTTAGTGGCTGGGGTTTTTTTTGATGGGAAAATCATCAATCTTTTACTCTCGGCCTGAGCGGGGCGAGAGAGTGTCAGACTCTTACACCCGGTTTCTGAAAGGCTTGTCAACGCTAAAATTAACTAATCTCCTGTTAAATCTCTTGTCAAGTCATCTGATTGGTTGTTGATAATGCAGTCAACCAATCTGATGACTTGACAAGAGATTAAATTGATTTTAACATTGATCGGCCTTTCGGAAACCGGTTGTTAATGACTAAATACTACCCTATACCTTCTCCGTTCCGACCCGCAACGCCAAAGTCTCAATCAACGACGGGCCTTAGGCACAGATTCGCCCGTACTGAAACTGAAAAAAGATAATAAATACCTAGGTACTAATCTTCACCAGATAGAAGTGCAGCGCCGGCGTAAGGGCCACTGACACCCCGAGCGAAAATATCGTGGCGCCCACTTGAGGGAAGCAATATCAAGTGTTACATGTTTGATCTGATCCCGAGTAAAATAAAAAATTGCATATGCACAGAACGTAGAGCACAGTTCTGAGGGTGTTTGCACTAGGAGAGGCAAGAGACTCCAACTTCAGACCTTGGCGCGCCCAGAATTTGTCGCTGGGCCATCGCCCCATCACGCCCCCCTTACTGTAGACTCTGCTACATTAACAGAAATATTTATGCGTATGCCTACATAGTATATAACACAATAAATATTATAGCTAGGTTGCTAAATATCAATATGGCAGTCGTTAAAGGTTACAAATATGTCAAAGGTTAGATCTATTGGTGTTTTGTAACAGCACTCAAGTAAATTACCTTTAGTTTAACTTATCATACTAATGGAGTCGTAACTTACATTCACTTTGTTGTGGTATGATAAATAATATTTATATTATTAATAACTTAAAAAAAAACTTTTTACTATTGAGTTTTTATTTCCTACGTCGGACAACGACACATAAAAGAGAGCACATCATTTTAAATATCGACTAAGTTAGAGAACCGACAAACAATTATTATTTAACTAGCTTTTGCCCGCGACTTTGTTCACGTGGAAAAGTTACTTCCTGCAGATTTTTGGAATAAAAACTATCTTATGTCCTTTCTCGAGTTCCAAACTATGTCTGTACCAAATTTCCATCGATCACTAATATTAGTGATCGATGCAAATTTCACAGAAATCGGCTCAGTAGTTTAGGCGTGAAGAAAAGACAGACAGACAGACAGACAGACAGAAAGACAGACAGACAGAGTTACTTTCGCATTTATAATATTAATTAGGATATATATTTTTATTTATATTCAATAAACTTTATAACAATACATAGATGGTTAAAGCCAAACAAGAAATTCTCTACGGGCTTATCTGTATTTGAAAGTAACTTCTGTATTCCACAATTAAATCCTCGTGCCTCGCTTCTTCGTTTCGGACAAGCCATATTTACAATAATTTCCACTCACGAATTCAAGATCTATTAGTACACTAGTACCTAAAGACCAAGTTGAACACTGTAGAAGTGGGTAGGATGAGTTGGAAAATTCTCATTGAAAGATTTGGAAAGAAATACTTTTTATAGCAATCACAGGGGTCATGTGACTAACATTGTTAAAATGATGAGTTTTCCACCTTTTGTCTTGCAAAAGCCTTTTTTGTGAGGGGAAAATCATAAAATGGCTTCACACGCCCAGATGCGTAAGAGTGTCACACTCTTACTGACTAAAAATCTCCTGTTCCTGCTCCTGCTTTAGGCCGAGGCCACAGTACTTAATTGCGCTAGCTAGTCAACTTTGGCTGAACATCCCGACCCTGTCTTTGGTGGTCTATTGGCTCTTTAAGTTGCGCATGAAACGCTAGTCTTGCAAGTCAAATAGGCTATTAATTTTTTCTAACAAACAACTTTGATCATTCCATTTGCAGATGTAGAGATAACGCGTCCGGCTTTAGCTCCAATCAGTACTGGGATTTCATCCTACATCATGTACGCCCTATCTCCTGCTGCAATGAACTCTGATCGATTCGACCTGCGGCTTCGCTTCCAAACTTCAGACATGGATCAAATAGCTCTGCTGGCGTTCATCGGCCAAAGTGGAAGACATGACTCACGAAGCCAGCATCTTGCACTGACTTTTGTAAAGGGATATATCATGCTTACTTGGAATATGGGAAGTGGTAAGTGTTTTTGCTTTCTTGTCTGTTTCCTTGCTTAGTAGTTGGTACAACCAGAGAAGTCGCCTGCAGATTTTTTTAAATTATATGAACTAGTGCTTGACTGCCATCCCATCTGATGATAAGCAGTGATGCAATCGTTGATGGTAAGGCGCACTAGTTTATTGAGAGAAAATTCACTCTAGCCTTGAAGACATCTAAATCATAACTGGACGGAAAACCGTTGCATATAAACGGCTAAGCGAAACGCTTAGACCGGATGGTAGACATCTCAACAGGTCGGAGTATCGGAAGTCGGTTGTCCGATGGTAGAAAGGTGAACGTGGAATCAGTTCTTGTAGTACCCGCACACACCCTCCAAAAATTATCCGATAGAAAACCGAGAGGTTGGCTACCCTATACTTGTAGATTGCCCTCCAGGCTCAGCCAAATCCGGATCACTAATCAGTCTCTTAGCACGCCTCTCCACCAGTAAAAAGTATTTTAGCTTTTACCTGAACTAGTTTTGAATTGCGATTGCCTTAGGTAATACTCGTATAATTGCATTTTGTTTCTTATGTGGTATATCTAACACGGAATGGATATCAGTAGAACGGGATAAAGGAATATGTAGCACTATTTTTTGTTTATTTATTAATTTGTGACCATATCTTATGTGACATTTTCTCTTATAGCCTCAATGTTTTTCTAAACTCAGTGATTCAACCTCACACGATAGTGTTGGTAACTTGCCAAAGTAATCGATGAACGCGATACCTCAAGAATGCATGTTTTTATTGGCGTTGCATTTACATCCAGCCAACCAATGTCGGCGCAATCATGAGTCATTTAGGTTAGCTAGGATCAAACTATAAATAAATCACACATTTTTTAATATATTTCAATACTCATTTGCCTGAGAGTCTTATCCTTTTTAGCCTGTAAGAACTATCTTTTTTGTGATATGTCGGCAAACGAGCAGACAGATTTCCTGACGGTAAGCAATCAGTGCCGCCCATGGACATCCGCAACAACTGAGGAGTTACAAGAAAAATATTACAAAAATGTTACAGAAACAAGTAAAATATTTTATGTTAGGATTAAAGTTGTAAGTTTATGAGACTAATCTGCAATGTGCCTGTCGAATATTAAGAACGATGTTTGGACAAACCCGTAGCTGTACCTACAAAAGAAGCAAATACTTATGTAAGCAATCTATGCATTACCTATTTCAAATAAGTAACTGATATTTAACTTGAAATGCTTGCCGTAGTATTAGTTTTTTGTTCTTTTATCCGTTACTGTGATATCACCGCACCAACTTGGGTGAGAGGGTAATTAGAGATGTCATTGAAACTAACCCTGAACTTTCCAATAAAGTAGTTAAATACACGCTAAAACTCGCCGCTCTAAACGAGCTCTTTTTTTTTTAATAGAAATTTTAAATCAAATATAATCTACATCTTATTTACATTTTTGCCATTAAGTAAATCAATTGAAAAGTTGGTAAAAAGTAACATTTCAGAATCAACTAACTAAGTAAACCTTTACGCCTATCGTGTCAGGTTCGAAGGAAAATCATCAAACAATTTCTTCTACCCTGGGTGGGGCAAGAGGGGTTGTCAGACTCTTACAGACTAAAAACACACTAATTTCTTTACCTGCTGCATAAAAATTGATCATAGAACTGGTACCTACGTACTTTTACCAGAATGAGTTATCTATGAAAATAAATTCACTATAAATCGAGCTTCTACGCGGGACATCTATTTTGGCTACGTTTTCATTCAAAATCAAGAAAATCCGGAGGAAAGAAGTAGAAAAGAATATACAAATAAATACATTTATGGCTTTTTTTTTTTTTTGTGAGGGGTAAATCATCAAATGACTTCTCCCGCCCAGGGCCGGGCAGGAGGGAGTGTCAGACTCTTACTGACTAAAAACCCCCCTGTTCCTTCTCCTGCTCTGTGCCGAGGTCGCGGTACCTCATTGCGCTTACCCCGCAACCCCGGCTGAACATCAGCCCTTTAGGGCCCCGTCTGTGGTGGTCTATTGGCTCTTTGAGGCGCGCGCGGAACGCTACGCGCCGTACGCTCGGGCCTGGTTCTGGTCGGGCGGCGAGCTGCCCTTACTCGCCGACCGCAGGCCCGTACTTACGGTGGCCGGAGATCGTCCCTCGATCCCCGACGCCCGTAGTGTCGCCAGTTGCGGCTGCTGGGGCGTGAGGAGGAGGATTGCTCCCTCACGCGGGCCGCCTCTCTCTTTGCGAGCATGACTGCTTCACAAAAGGAGGAGACGGCGTCCCAGTTCCTCTCACTCCGCACCATGGCCTCGACTAAGGCCGGGCGCGAGAGGTCGCCGCCGCCGATCACTTCCCTGAGGATACGGCGGTGCTCAGCCCAGGCAGGGCATACCGCTACCGTATGCTCCACCGTATCCGCTAGGTGGTCCTCACAATGACGACACTCGGGCGTTTCCTCCCGCTGAATCCGAAAAATACATTTATGGCTAAAATTCAATTCTTTTTAAGGTCCTCGTCGAGTATTTACATCCCGTGCTTTAAGCCCACGCCGGGGTGGCCATGCGGTTCGAGTCTGGAGACGGGGCCGCTCAGCCGGGCTAAGTGTGGACGGACGCCATAATATCTCCGGCAATGCACCCGCCCATAGCACTAAGATGACTTTACTACCGTACATTTTTATTGGTAAGTCTAATTAAATACTCCATTAAGATGAATTGGTTTCTAGATATCTACGCATGTTTTCGTAACAAGACATATTGAATGTTCTCTCTTGTGGTGGACATTGCCCATCTGGCACGTTATTACTGAGTAATAAAGTAAAAACAAATAAGAAATGGCAACAAAAATTCAAAAGCGGCAACAATAGGTGTTTGATAAGATGAATAGTACCATAGTTAACCCGTGCTACGCAGATCTACGCGAGATACAATGCGTTTTCTATTATGTGTTATACATATACCGGCAGACCGGCAGTCAAGTGGTTAATGACCTAAAAGTGACCAACGCTGTTGCCGATCGATCATGAATGGACTTACACTGAATTGTCTTAATTTATATTAGGGGAAGAAAAGAAGGAGAATTTAAACATAGTTTTTTTATTTCCTCCTATCTATAATATCTCCTATTTCTATCATTAGGTGGACATCCATCACCAGACTTTGTGGATCTCCCTCATGATTTGCCACTGCACAGTGGGTGGCGGGGTTGTATTTGGGAAGTGGGTGGGCAAGCAGTGGGGGCCGGAGCGAGGGCCGCTGGTGGCCGAGGAGTGGGCCAGTGTGGGGTCGCACAGTGCACTGCCAAGTCCTGTAACGCGCCCCGAGGGGTCTGCATACACTCTCCTGCTACTTATGGGTAAGGGCCTGCCTCGTTGTCAAAAAATACTATTTGTTTTTGCATTTGAAATAGGACTAAGTGAGAAGCCTCTAGTAACTTTATTGACCAGAAAGATTTCTAGAAATCTATAGTAGAAGTTATCATACCTAGTAATCATTAAGCATTATGCACTGCTTAGACGGGGTGTGGGTCAAGCGCATTGTAGTATGTACGGGGCGGTTTTGAGTCAGTGAAAGTCTGACACTCCTTCTCGCTCTACTGAGGGCAAGAGAAGTCCTTTGATTTACTCCTTAAAAATCAGTGCTTTAGTATTGAGATAAGCATCATCAGATGACCTCTCCCCCACACGGCAAGGCGAGAGGGAGCACCAGACTCTGACTAAAAATGAATTTCCTAACCCAAACTTAAAAAAAAAATACTATTTCTTATTCAAAATCCTAATCTAATTACCACTCTGAACAACTAGATGTATCTGCAACGAGGGTTGGTTCGGGGCCACGTGCTCCAGTAATCGCAACCCCTGCGACCGCGCGCACTCCAAATGCCAAGGACAATGCGTCATTACGACCGACGGGAACACGCAGTGCGACTGTCCTTATGGAAAGACTGGGGTCTATTGTGATCAAGGTGAGGTGGACTGTTTTTATGAAATTACTAACTGTGCCCCGCGGTTTCACCCGCGTTTTTGTCGTTTCCGTGGAAATACCGAGATAAAATATTGCCTTTATTATAGCCTCCCTCAATAAATGGACTATTGAATATTTAAACAGTTTTCATAATTATCAGATCAGCATTTCTCGAGATTACCGCCTTCATAACAAACAAATATTAAGAAAAATATAGATTAAGTTAAATTGTATAAGTCAAGTAAGCAATAGCTGTTTATCTGTTCGAAATTCAGCCAGAATAAGAATTACGACTACAGGCGAGAGTGTCCGTCCACTTTAAACCGGGTTAAAATATTATTTTAAAGCACTTCTGAGTAAATTATATTTTTCGCTTTATTTTCTGAATTGTTCTAAAATGTAAAGGCAAATCATTTGGAATCATTAGGATCCGAGGTAGAAATACTTTTTGACCAACCACTGGACCAGTCAGAACTATTGCAACGATCACGTTATTGCGAACAAATTTAACCTAAAGTCTCCCGTTACATAAATTTCCAAGTAAAATAATTGGGGCACCAATTTTAAACTTGAGAGAATGTGATGGGATGCCCGTCGGGTTTAAAGAATTAAAAAATCACTGTAGATAATGGACTGCATATTCTTGATCCATTGGAAGTTTAGTTAAAATTAAATCGTTAATTTTGTCAACACTACTGTTTCTCGTCGCCAATATTGCTCGTTAACACTGCCATTGATAATCTTTATTTTCTATTTCGACGATATCTTTTGATATTAAACTATCAATGCTAGTCACTTTTTCTCCTAAATCTTGATCAAGAGGTATTTTCAAAATAAGGTACTTTTTCGTCTCCAACTAAAAGTAACTTCAAAGGAAAATTTGTACTTCCTCGTCCCAAATATGCTCTCATGTCCGTAGATAGTTTTAAGGTATGAACAAATTTCCATAATAGACAACTTTTAAGGCAATTTTTTCTTGTTTAGTTCCTCTTACTACTGCTGGTAAAGTTTGCCGAAAATCCCCAGCAAACATGACAGTAATCCCAACCATGATTTTATCACAGTCTCTAATATCTATAATAGTCCTATCTAGAGCCTCCACATGAGCTCTATGAATCATGGTACATTCATCCCAGATTAATAAAGTGACATCTTACAAAACTTTGCCTAAAAGGCCATTTTTACGAATAGAGCACACGCTCTTTCTGTAACGGTACGGTTAGGTTATGTTAGTTTAAAAGTGTAATGATTCCAGATGACGCTACTGCCAAAGCTAGTTTTCCCTGAGACCTTACTTTTGCTAATATCATATTAGTAGCTAATGAAAGTTTTGCCGGTTCCGCCTGGAGCACCCAAAAAAATATTTTTCCCTCATTGAAACACCACTGTGTATAACACTATTGTTTGCCATTACCTGGTCATTAAAGAACTTGGGTGCATTTACAGTAATATACTCATTTAATTCATTTACATCGTATGGCTTCCGCAACGACATTTCCAAATTAAGATGTATGTTTTTCCTTGGATTTCCTTTTCCTTAGCAGAGTTAGCTTAGACATGTATTTCTTATACTCTTCAAACATCTTATACTTACAATCATCAACAAATATATTACGAAAAATATTATTACAGGATTTTATGTTGATAAAAAACTCTATGGTCCATAACTCATTGATAAGGTACCAACTCTTAACATCTTACACACATGATAACTTTTAAACGATTGAGAGATTGAGAGGAAATAAAAAAGTATTTTAAAACACTTATAAATAAATACTCTTGATAACATAATGCTTAATTCCGATAAAGAATAATATTACGATACATATTTAACGCTTTTTTTCCTTCAGACGATTTAATAATTATTTTGAACACAAAATCGGGTATTGTGATTAAACCATGATAGCTAGATATATGCTCTCGCGGACTTTTTGTAGTTTTTAATAGAATCTACAAACCCGTAGTACTTACATCATTTTGTTCTATGGTCAATAGTTATTGCAGCGCACGCAAAAATAGGTTTTCGATTTTACTCCTTGTGTTACAAAATAATTTTGAATTAAATAAAATATACCTTCCTCGATAAATGGACTACCTACATAACACTCAAAGAATCATTCAAATCGGATTTTTTTTTTTTGTTTTCGGAACCCGACTTATTAATCCTCAAACGACGAAAAATACTGTGCTCTAGCTCCAAAGCACACGCGCACACTGTTTTGATAGATGATTGAATTTGAACTTTGTTTAGTGGTAAGAAAGTGCAAATTTACTTTTTGACGTTAGGAACACACCTTTTCTTCTTTCATTTATTTCTTAGATAACAGTGAGTGCTTGTTTATTTAATATGAATCTTATGTATAACAGCAATAAAGCTCAAATTGATTCGACGTTTTAGTTAGAAAACGTTTGTATGTGAAAAAGAAAAGGACTGTTTTTAGGGTTTTCCCGGCAATTATTCGATTTTTTCTCGCCGTAAGAACCATCCTTGGACTTCAACGAACATCTTAAAAAAAGAATTGGCCAAATTGGTCCAGGCGTTATTGAGTTATGCGCTAACAACACATTTTGCGATCCATTTTTATATATAAGAAGATATATGAGGCGTAGTACCGTCACCATTACCTTTTTGATACTATACGAGATAAAACATACAAATAAAACTAAGAAAGCTTTGGGGTAAAAAATGACACTTTTGAGTTGCCATTTTGTAAGGTACATTTGATTATAATTAACAGTTAGATAAACGTATCGCGGTTTCGATTCCCCTACGGAAGTACTCTTTGTGTAATCCACAAATTGTTGTTCCGGGTCTGGGTGTTATGTTCATGTGAAATTGTATGTTTGTAAACGTAACCACGACACAGGAGAAAATCTTAGAGTAGAGCAACGTTTTATTTGAAAAAAAAATCGGATGTACTAATATTAAAAATCTTTATGTTGAAAGTCCCCGTTTTGCTACCCATGCTGGTGGGTCTCCCAAACGTCTCTCCGAATACCACTGCGTGTACAGATATACGATTTTACTTAGAACTCACACCCTGACTCGAAACAACAATTTGTGTATCACACAAGGACTTGTTCCGTTGCGCGGCAGTCAATTGCCCAGTCACCGCACTTATTTTCGAGTTGAATCTCTCTAATGGGTTATTTGAAATTATTAAGTCTCTATCTTCTTTTTCTCTTCCGATTTGTACGAATCACCTTAATCTCATCTACCCTTATCTCTCATTCCAGACTTAATCCCCACGGATGTACTGTTCACTGGAACGAGGTCCTACATACAATTACACCCTACCACCATATCAAGTGTCAGTCTATCATTAGAGTCGGAGATTAAGCCGGCGAAGGAACGCGGTCTGGTTATGTTTGTGAAGACTCCACATTTCTACACTGCGCTGTCTCTGCAAGGAGGCTTGTTGGAGTATCGATGGACTGGTATGAATTACAGATATCTTTTAAAACATGCAACATGGCTTATTAATAAATGGCAAAGGTTTTTTCTGGATATCATGGATGGTCTTTATTCGCCTGATTCATCTCAGATCTTATCATCATCAACTCATAAGTGGTCACTGCTGAACAAAGGTCTCTTCTCCCAAGGTTTGAGTATTAATGACCACGCTGCAGCCATTTCAAAATTATAATTAGAAATGTAGTCCAGGTTTCCTCACGAAGTTTTCCTCAATTATGTCAGTGGTGTCCAAATAATCCTAGAAAGTACCTACATATAACTTGGAAAAAGTCAAATTGGTTTCTTCATCATCATCTATGAAGGGCCAATTCACTAACTGATGTCTGCGGCGTTTTGGTAATAAATTCCTTTCCAAACAATTATAAGCTTTCTACAATAGCCTTTTAAACATCATAAAGAAAAAAAAACATTGTGTAAAACTGTACACAATGTTCTTTCTTTTGGGCGGTTTTCTTTAACCGTTATGAACGTAAACTTTCTTCAGATCGTCTATCCGGAGTAACATCATTGGTGCGGAGCGGAGTGGTAGTGTCAATGTCTCAATGGCACAGCGTCAAAGCTGGTCGGTATGGCAGTAGACTGTATGTCTGGGTCGATGGGTCTCTCAGCACGGAGGCCATGTTGGCACATGCATACCCACATACTAATGGCAACGCTTCTATTCTGCTCGGTAAGTTTTGTGCTAAAGCTATTTTAATACCCATCCTGTCAAATCGAAGGCAGCAAAAATCTATTATCAAAAATGTTCAAGAAATTCTTTTAAAAATCTTCATTTCACTTTGTCGTTTACTATAAGTTTATCCCCCATTTTTCATATTTTCTTTACGTCCGCTTAGGTAAATAAATAAAAGCAAAAAGCGAAGGCCAGAATCTGAACACAGCCATTTATAAAATTAGCTGACCTTTTAAAGAACATAAGTGAGCAATGGTATTCTACTGTCTATTCACAGGTGGCGCAAAAGACCTGTCTTCCCTACCTTTCGATGCAATGTCAGGTGCACCAGCGCCATACACTGGCTGCATCAAAAACTTCCACGTGAACAATATTCTGCTTCCTTTGGAACCGCAGAATATTCAAGGTTAATATTTTTCGCTCAATGCCATTAGGTATGTTGTTCACCCTTTAGCACTAATGTAGCGTGTCTTTCTGTTTGGCCTATTAAGTATTGTAAATTCGATTTAAGAGAGTGCTTCTTCTCAGAAGACCAACCTCGCACTTTTGACTTATCTGGTGTTACATGTATTGTGGCAATGGGAGGCGCTTGTCGCTTCCCATTAGGTTATCCGAATACTAGTCATCTCTTATTTTCTTATTATATTCTTATTATATTATTACAAAAAAAACACTATAGGTATTGGACAAACAGACCTAACGCTACATTAACGCTATCTGGTGAGAAAAGGCAAAATTAACTGGTGATATTGCGAAAGAGCCGCCAGCACCTTCATACTAAAATATGTATATACTGAATATGTAACCCAGAGGCCTAATCCTTCTCCTCCCCCAATCCCTAAATACCAAAAACCCTAATCACCAAAAGGTCGCAACGCACTCGTAACTCTTTCATTATTGCGGGTGTCCATGGGCGGCTCTGATTGCTTACCATCAGATAATCCGTCTGCTCGTTTGCCGTCCTATCATACAATAATATCCCTTTTGATTATTATAAGTCCTTGTGTATCAGAGGGCCGTAACGTGGCGGACTGTGACGGCACGGCGTGCGGGGACGAGGCGTGCGGCGGCGGGGTGTGTATACTGGAGCGTGGACGGGCGCGCTGTGCCTGCGGGGCCTCCAACTACGTGGGCACCGGGCCCCGCTGTCGCCGCCATGTCTCCTGCCAGCCATCCACCTGCGCCCCGCCCAGGGGACGCTGCAGAGCTGACAGATGCATCTGTTCCACTGGATACGCTGGCACTTTCTGTGATCAAAGTCAGTGTTGTTTTACAAGTTTTATTCGTTAAACTAGATATGTGAGATATTTTAGGACTAAACTGGTAAGATTGATAGAGGCACCGCTGTGAGTACCAGGGTAAAATTGCTCTATCTCTATGCCAAATTTCATTCGGATGTATACTGTACATTTTACGTGAAATGGTGACAAACATCCATACTTACAAACCTTTGGCGTTTATAATATTAGTCGGATTGAATATCTTCGTCCAAAGAGTTGTTTGACCCTATCCCCGATTTTCAATATTGACTTCCACATTTGGAGTTTATTTGAATTGAATTCCAGACCAATCTCCTGGATAGGGATGAAGGATATCCCATTATCAAATTGAAAGTTTTTATTTCTATTTTACAGAAATTGACATAAAAATCCCACAATTTGATGGAACTTCGTTAGTGTCTCTAGGACGACAGTCTACATCGAGCCATACGAATCAACAACGGATCGCTCCTACTCTTAGTAGGCCTAGCTACGTCGCACTTAATTTTACAACGGCAGAACCAAATGGATTATTACTATGGATTGAAATGGTAAGTTGTCACTTCATAAAATCGTATGGTTCAGAAATTTTCCAATACTTTTTTCAAGTCATCCTTTTTCGTTTTCTTAAAAGCATTCGACTAACTTCACGTTCTGATTTCAAAAAAAGATTGTTCAAAGGCCGCCTATTAAGTGTTTTGAATAAAACTTAAAAATACAACTACAAATTTATAATGTAAAATGTACCTTTTAAGCAATAATAAATAAATAAAAAATAAAATACAATGGCACGGATTCTAGAATAGGGGGTACCACAAGGGCGTACACTGTCACCACCTGAGGTCACCACTTCATTTTAATAGAAATAAACCTGACTTATATTTTTATTATGTTGTTCAACAGAGCAATGATTATGTTGGATTGGGACTTGAGAATGGATACGCAAAGCTGGTTTGGTCATTCAATCAAAACATTGTCAAAACAGCTAAATTTAACTATGGAGATTTGATAGCATCACCAAGAACTCTATCGAGGCTGATGCCTCATGCTGGCTACCTAAGTGATGCTGAATGGCATATTTTAGTTCTGCAAATAAACAAGACTAATATTACATTGACTGCTGATAATACACTGGTGTATACTGAAGAGCCGGGACTAAATATCGAAACTGAATATGACGATATTGACATGTTCATTGGTGAGTTTTGGTCCATATTATTAATACAAAAGTTTGTGTTCATATGTATGTTACTTGTTACACGAAAACTACTGCATTAACTTAGGTGAATGTTACTTGGTACGGAGATAGTTTGAAATAAGACATGGACTACTCTTGTCTAATAAAATAAAATTCAAGAGAAAACAATACATACCTATTCGTCCACATATCATATTCGATGTTACACCGCTAATTATCAATTTCCAGGTGGCATATCAGACAATGACTACGAAAAAGCGAAAAAAATTTTCCCAAAAAATTTCAAAGGCTGCATCGATCAAATTTCTACAAGGGAGAAATCATTTATAACGAATTATACAGAAGTGTATAGCGAAAACGTAAAGTCGTGCCAACTGTACCCCCCAACCTAATCAGACTAACTTTATACTTTAGACAAAATCTAGGTAAGTGTGAAAATACTCATAGTACAAACAGTCTAGTCTTCATATAGGACCAATGTCTTATAAAATGCAATGTTAACATAGGTTACGTATTTAAGTATTTAATATGGGTGCAATTATATCTAAGATTATTCTTATTATTATTTATAACCTAGTTAATGTAATTTGTGCAGATCTTAATTAAGTTTGGTGGTATGTTTTGTATTGTAGAAAAACAAATTAAACATTCAATGTACACAAAATATAGTTTTATTGATATATTCATGTTTAATAAATTGTATACATAACATCATCAAATATTATATTAAAACATATACATTTTTCGTTATACGTTACATACTCAAACACAAATACAATATGAGATGTTATCCCCGTTATTCTCATTAATTTAAAAACGTTTAGTTCTCAACACAATGCAGTAATTTCAATTGGCATACATGTTCAACATCTAAACATGCCCCTTACACGAAGCTCATGAATATCAGATTTATTTACATTTCATTATTAAAGCATGTACATTTATAAAAGTCGTAGAATTCATTAGGCCTATTTACAAGTGGAATATAGTTGGAATGCTTGACCATAGTACACAATTTAGGTTGCAATCTGTGTATTGTACAAGAGTGTAAAACTCACTAGGAACATCGATTCCTTTACTTGATACACGATACTATTCTGATAATAATTTCTAAAAAATAAATATTTATATTAAGCGATAAAGAATAAATAATTGTTAATTGCACATCGTCATTATGATAAAATTTTTCGAAAATTAAATAATAAATTTATAACAGTGTAAGCTGAGCTTACGTTTTAAATTATGCCGTACGGAAATAGGCACGAAGTGAATTTCTTCTCAACTACAGAAATATTAACAAATTTAATAATAACAGAAGACATTTGAAATCCAAAAAGTAACACGTACTCTAGGAATGTTTCAGATAATAGTAATAATAAAGATACAATAGAAAGAATAGAATATGCTAATCACAGTAGAAGTAAATATTACATATTTACGATATATTAATGGCTATTGGTGCGTAATTGTATCTCAACCATAAATAATAATAAATAAATACAGCAAGGTACGCGGCGGGCGGCGCGCGGTACGAGGCGCGGCCGAGCCAAGTACAGTCGAATACAATACCAAGCCTACGTAACAATGACAATATTCAATGTTATTTATTATGTACGACATTACCTCCACGAAACAACATTAATCTGAATAATGATACTAAGAAACATCAAAGATCATCCCCGTACAATGCTTTATTTACTCTAATTCTGAATATAAAATTCACTTTTTCTTATCTACAAGAAATTCGTTTATTAAAATTATATTTATAGGTATATGAACATCAGTTAACAATTTTCTAATAATGTTATTAAAGTAACAGACACCAGTATGGGAATTTAATTTAAAATATCATATTTCCAACATAATTTTCTAAAATTGAATTCCTGTTCTTACTTTTATACCGGGTGGTAACAATCTCAATAATTCGTAATCTCTAAATTTATAAACAAATTAATTAATCTATATTATATAATGTCATCAATAAAAGGTCATGTTCTGAGAATTAAAAACAACAATATTATGTAGTTATCGATAATACAATATAATTAGGTACATCGATACTATCAAATAAGCACTCGGAGCATATAAAATCGGATTGTTTGTGTCGCACGTGCGCACGCGCGGACATTGTCCGTCCGCCATTACAAGTCTGGCGCGTGTCATGGCGACACAGGACTCGTCAAGGGTAAGCATTGATTCATTCTATAAACAAAGCATTTACTTGTAAAATCAGTCTCATTCGCATAAGGAAGTGATCACAGCACACACACTGGAAACTCGTTGCAGAGCGAGGGGCCACGTCCCTCTTAACAAAACTTTAATAATAATATAGAGCACCTCGTTTGCTATCTTCTTATAATTAAATCTGATAAAGTTATGCAACAGATCGTTCAATAATTCAATTTTATAAAAATATCAAATGTATGGAAAAAGTACAAAGAGAATAAAATAGTAAATATCGGAAGTACGTGTCGTATCACCATTAAACAAATATTACGATTCGATATTCAAATATAGTATAACAAGCACAACGGCAATTCGCTAATACAGTAAATAAAATAATAAGTTACAAGCATAGACTAGATTTATGAAAATTTGTGAAAGTTTAGATACAACACATAGGAGACACGATAGAACGAGAGGCTCTCTCGCTCGACTGTAAAAATATACACTCTGAATGGCAACCTCACATCGATGCAAAAAATGCAAAGCCGGTAATATTTTTGTAATCTAAATTAAAACATCGATCTCCATCGACGGACGCGACGAGAGGGCGCGGCCATCGCGAGCTGGCGCCCGTCCGCCGCCGGGACTCGGCCGTACACTACACTCCAACTCGAGTCACTCGGCTACCGCCGGCCACGGGCGGCTACGGGCGGCTACGGGCGGCCACGGGCGGCCACGGGCGGCTATAGTGGCCACGGCCGGCTACAGGCAGCCACGGGCGGCTACAGGCGGGCCAGCGCGCGCGGCCGGGCCGCGGCCAGCTCGTGTCACGGGCGCGCCTCCACCAGGCGCTGCAGCAGCACGGCCACGCACACGGCCAGCGCCAGGAAGGCCGCCGCCATCAGCAGCGCCACGTGCCCCGGCTGCAGCGCCCGCGCCGCGCGCGCCCGCCGCACCCGCGGGGCCGGCGCCGCGCCCGCCACCGCCACGCGCGCCGCCGGGCCCCACGCACCCGCCAGCCCCGCGCGCACGCAGCACAGCCGCACCAGGTACTCCGCGCCCGCCTCCAGCTCTTCCAGCTGGAACTGCGTCTCGCTGCCTGAGTACACCTGCAAAACATTCGAACGGTTAATACTGACATTGCCGATGCAAATGACAAGACTACATTAAATAATATATGGGGAGCTGACCTGCTTGTAAACGGCATCCTTGGCGCGCGCGCACTGCAGCACGTACTCGGAGTCGTCCAGCGCGTCCCAGGACACCAGCGCGGCGCGGGGGGCGCACTGCTGTACGGTGGGGGCGCGCGGCGCGGGCGGGGGCGCGCTGATGGTGCTGGCCTCCAGCGGCTCCGACCAGCCGCCGCGGCCGCCGCGCTCGTCGCTCGCCCGTATCCGGAACGCGTACGTGGTCGCCTCGCGCAATTTCTTAACCTTGCAGGAGCGGGCCGAGCCGCGGTAGACGGGGCGGAAGTCGCGCGCGTCGAGCGAGCGCATCTCGACGCAGTACTGCGCGCCGTCGCCGGGCGCGGCGGGCCACTCCAGGCGCACGTAGTTGTGCTGCGCCTGCACGCAGCGCAGCGCGGGGGGCGCGGGGGGGCGCGGCCGCGTGCTGGCGCGCGCCTCGTCCGACCACTCGCCCAGCCCCAGCTCGTTGAGCGCGGCGACGCGCACGCGGTACACGGTGTCGGGCTCCAGCCCCTGCACGAGCCGCTCGGGCGCCGGCCCGTCCGTGTCGAAGGCGGCGTCGCCCACCTCGACGCGGTAGCGCAGCACGATGGCGCCGTGCGCCGCCGGGGGGCGCCAGTGCAGGCGCAGGCTGTCGGCCGTGGCCTCGTGGCGCAGGCCGGCGGGGGCGCCGGGCGGGGCGCGCGGGGTCAGCACGTCGCGCACGCCGGACCACGCGCCGCGCCCCGCCGCGTTGGTGGCGCACACTCGGAAGAAGTAGGGGGAGAACGGGACCAAGCGGCCCACGAGGCAGCTCGTCTCCGCACCCCTGTACACCTCTGAGAAGGCGTCGTCAACGTTCGTGGCACTCATTTCAAGGCGATAGTCGAGGATGGGCGCTCCGTTGTCGCGTGGGGCGGTCCATTCCAGGCGGGCGGCGCGAGCGCCCTCCAGTTGTGCAGTGGGGGTTTCAGGCGCCTCTGGTGGCGCCGGTGCAGTCGAAAACGTGAGAGCTTGAGATGGCGGGCTCGCGCCCACCCTGTTGTGCGCCGTGACCCACGTACGGTACTCACGACCGGGCATCAGTTCACGAACTATACATTCGCAGTCGAGTCCTTGATAAGCGAGGCGAGCTGCTCCCTCAGTATCGGCCGATGGAATGATTTCCACCCGATACTCGGTAATGGGCGCGCCGCCGGTACAGTCGGGCGCCCGCCAGCGCAGCGCCAGCAGCGTACTGCGCGGCTCGGCGGCGGGGCAGGGCGCGGCCGGGGCGGCCGGCACTGCGCATTCAGTCGTCACTGTCTCCGCGGCGGACCAGTCGCTGGCGCCGGCTTCGTTGTTGCAGCGAACGCGCGCTCGGTAGGGAGTGCCGGGCAGTAATCGGTCGCAATGTGCTTCACGCTCGGGTCCACGGTAAGCTGGTCGATATCCGTCACCAGCGTCAAGCTCGAGGGTATAGGAGTCGATGGTTGCGCCACCGTCATCGACTGGAGGTTCCCAACGTAGGCGGAATGCACGTGAGTGAATGCGTCCACGCGCAGTTGGTCTTCCAGGCGGGCCGGGTCGCTCAGGTAGCGTTCGGTACGTTACTTCTACGGACCAAGGACCTTGACCGTCGACAGTCTCACTTCGAAGACGAAAACGGTAATCGGTGGCACGGTGGAGTCCACTGCACACGTAAGAACGGTCAGGACCCGAGTATACAGGTAAAAATCCGTGGCCACGAGCTGCGTCGTCCATTTGTAATGTGAATTCTTCGTCGGAGCGACGCTCCCATCCGAGAACCAGGGACTCGTTGCTGGCAGAGGTGAGAGTGGGAGGAGCGGGGGCCGGAGGGGGCGAGCCCGTGGTCCAGGCGACGGCCTCCTCGCTCCAGTCGCCTCGACCGCACTCGTTGACGGCGGCGATGCGGAAGCGGTAGCGCGTCTGCGGCCGGAGGTTGTTGACAGTGTGCTGGCGAGTGCGCGGCCGACTGACCTCGACGAAGCCGTCGCCGTCGTCCATCTCCAGCACGTAGTAGAGCACGCGCGCGCCGTTGTCGGTGGCCGCGGCCCAGCGCAGCGCCAGCGAGGTCCGCGCGCGCTGCGCCACGCGGGGCGCCGCCATCTGCTCGGGCCGCGCCGCCGGCGCGCGGAATGTCGCCGACGCACTCGTCGCGTCTAGCTTGCCGGCGCGGATTTGGAGGCATACCGAATATTCGTAACCCGGCTTCAGATCTCTCACCCTGTCATAAAAATAAATGTCGTTATTAAGGTACAAACCAAATAATACGACTTTAATTGATAGAAATAGTCAATAGCACTCACCGGCAAGTAAGACTTTGTCCGCTATAAATCGCTTTGTAGCGGCCACCTCGGTCAGCCAGGAGCAAATCGTAAGTTAACTCGCCACTTGGTACTATGACGTCTTCTGGCACCGGTAAATTCCAAATTACTAGAGCGCTGGTCGACGATACATCAGTGATCTGAAAAATTAGCAATTTACCTTACTTTATGGCAACTGCTTCATATTGTGATAATAATATAGTGATATTAATAACTTCATATTCCAGTACAAACCTGAGGTGTGCGTCTAGCAGCAAACATGTCGAGTATGGCCTGGGCGTCGGTTTCATCTTCAACCTCCCCGTCGCCTTGGACAGAGGCTGCGGCAGATGAGCCATCGCCTTGTACTGAAGTTTCGGCTGAGGAAGCTTCTCCTTCCTCAGACCAGGCGCCGGAGGAGGTGGTCGTACCACTGCCGACGCCGGCGGTGCTGGCGCCACTGCTGGGCCCGCTGCTGGGCATGCTGTTAGCCAGGCTGCCACCGCCACTACTACCCGCGCGACCGTTCAATTCCTTCCGCGGAGACAATGACGGCGTACTAGCACCCGAATTCGCATCTGCAGTAACAATATTTGTAGCTGTTTTATGATAGTGATTATGAAATTATCATGTTTCAATAAAATAACAACATTAATATTGTTATTTTATTGATGTTTGATGGAAAAAACAAATTAGCATTATTTTAAAATTAAACTACACCTCCTCTTAAAATCAAAAGTGAATACCTTACATGTTTAGCAAACTATAGGATAGAGGATAATGATTTATTTAGGTTACTGTTTTAGGGTAGATGGCATCTACTTTTCACCAGTGTAGATTAAAATACCATGATTCACTCCTTCTATACTGCTACATGTAACACAATAGAAAACCATTTTGTCTTGCAAGGATCTGCACTCTGCAATACCATAAGAAGCTACTCATAATTTCAAACTACCTGCCATTCTAAAAATTAAAAATAACCTAAATTTCGTTTTAATGAACAAACCAAAACCTGCCCAAATTTTAATTTACTGTAAATTATAGCAGTCAAGCCTTGTTGGATATTCAAAAAAAAAGTTATGATCACTGGCAAGCACACACACCTAAAATCTACTGAGCAGAGCTCAATCACTGGTTATTGTTATTACTTTAAAAAAAACAATAAATCTGAACAATGTCCTTCATTAATCACACAGACATACACTCACAACATTTCTAACAAATGAAACAATATTTTAACAATTAAAACTCACCAATTCCGTTGTTCCTATTAGTTTGTTTCCTTTCTAATTTTTGTTTTAGTTTAGAGTACTGCCTCTGAGTTCTCTCGTCCTTTTGGTACACTGGAGGTGGGGAATGCTGCACGTGGTGTGGAACGTGATGGAAGTGCGGTGGGTAGCCAGTACTGTAGTAATGTTGCGGTCCCCCCGTACCATTTGTAGGAGGCTGGAAGAGCAAGTGTCACTATGAAATACCTACATAATTTCTTATAAAATTATTACCCGAGATTTATTCATATACCTACAATTTACATTTTAATTTTACTAAATTTTAATAGTGGGTACAATAAAATTTATTAGTAGGCTTCACATTTTACTCAGTAACTTAAAGCCTCATGCATTGGCGAATAGTTAGCATGTGTTTGTTTGTAAAAGTGTAAATTAGTTATAATCCTTGACCATAACATATATTCACTTATTCACAGAAAATAGAAAGGTGGATTGGTACTTAATTTTTTGAAACATAATAAAACACTGAAATTCTCCAAATATAAACATATTGCAACCCAAAATGTTTGAAATAAAATGAAATTAATGAGATTACTAGAACAGACCCGATTATGTCCAGCTTGTTGTGAAGCATTTGCCTTATTTTGGTCAGAATCACTCATTTTTAATATTTTAACAGCATTTAAATAACAATTTTGATAGTTTTAGTAAACGTCACTGCCACGTACTAGCAACAGCCAACTGTTTTTCGTGATAACTCTTGGCCACACAATCATACGCGAACGTATAACTTCGCCGCGATTAGATTAACGTCGCATACACACGACTTTATTTGATCAACTACCTACTGAAAATTGCCGTATAATAATACTGTATACAAATTTTAAAGCGAAAATATTCATGTACCTAGGTACACTGATTTTACAAGCGAAACAATCGATATAACGACAGAAATGTTTACACAGAAGGTTCAATCTATAGAAATGACTTTGTCAGTTGTGTTCATTTTTGCCTTTTACATTGTACATTTTTCTGATAGTACATGTAATACATAAACTGGTCATCCGAATTGCAGGATACTCAGAAATCACACTTGAGATTATTGTTTGTTGGTAAATAAATTTATTTCGCTACCGTTCGCCGGTACACGCATAAAGTCAATGAACCGATGACATTAAACGTCAAGCTTTGATTTGACACTGACAGTTACATTGCACTGCGTTTGGAAACAAAAAGGATCTATTATTTTTCTTGTTCCAAATGGCCTGACATATTTTTTTACTGACTTGTTCGTATGTTTGTATAATCAAATGCTAATAATTGCCATTGGACCCAGTGGAAGCAAAAATTAAATAAATCAATTCATCGGTCGAATCAAGTTTGTAGTTGACTGTCAACAACTAAAATGGGAATAGCGTATTGGCCTTGATGGTTCGTTGAACCACGAAGGTATGCTGTGACTGTGAGTGTGAAAAATACTAATGTTACATACTAACTTTGTTCCGAATACCTACCTTATTGATATTGGCATAATAAATTAGATCTCATTGTTTATTGAATCTATTAATTTAATCTTTGCGACCAAATCATCCTTTCGTCATAAAATTAAAATACATAGCTGTAGTGTAGTACCTACATCATATGCACGAGTAGTTATATAACGAGGTGGCTGCAATTTGTTAGCGATTGGCTGATGGAGGTGAAACTATCAGACAGATAACAAGAAGTTTATTAGATAACAAGAACCTGCAAGTGCATGATAGAATTACAAGATTGCGAGTGCAGTACATATTGTTCCCTATCATCACGACTGCAAGGTCGAAAGTCCTACTGCGCAGTGAATGGAATTCTTTTGATTATCCTGTTGTGGATTCAGAATCATTTTATAGTCATTGTATATGGTTCATTCTTTCTAAGATTGTTATGCACATACCTTCCTTTTTGTTGCAAAAAAGTCAAAGATCCTAGTAGCGCAAATTGGGCATGAATGGCAATGACACAGAATTTCGTAGAAATATTAAGTTGCTCCAAAAGCAGGATCCGATTAGTCCTATCCGGGATAACGCTAATTAGTTTTACTTACATACCCACAGCTGTCCTGGTCAAGACACCATGTGTAACGTGACTACATTGCATGAATGACCATTTTTAGAGCCCATAGAGTATATGTAATTGACTGAAGTGGTAGGTTCCTACTTATGAGCTATTTTATATTTGAGACTAGAAAAAATCTTTTAGAGTGACTCCTGGTGCAAAAATTGTAAATAGGCACAATAAGTTTGGCCTTAATGACTACTTTCTTACGAGTTGTAAATTATCAAAAACAGAGAGAGAGAGAGAGAGAGAGAGAGAGAGAGAGAGAGAGAGAGAGAGAGAGAGAGAGAGAGATTTGCTGGAGGGTGAAAAGTTAGTTGAATATTGTCAAAAACTTACATAATGATGTGGTGGCTGATGGTGGGGCGGTGGTTGGTGGTGTTGTGGCTGATGGTGCGGCGGCTGGTGATGCGCCGCATGGTGCGGATGCGCCTGCGCATGCACCAGATAGTGGCGCATATTCTCGTCTAACACTGGTGGCATCATTGGCGGCATCATCGTTCCTGATGGCACTACTGGCATACCTCCTGGAAACATACAAATTGAATGATTTTAAAATACGTCAAAAGATAGCTTCCGCCCGCGGCTTCACCCGCGTTGAACCTATTAAATAAAAAGTAGCCTTGTAATCCAGTATAATATCACCTATCTACATACCAGAACCAAATTGGTCCAATTGGTTTTTGCCTGAAAGAATAACAAATATACATCTATGCAATCTCAAAAACAGTTTCCTATTTATAATATTACTTAGTACGATAGGGAGGTTTAGGAAACCATGCCTTCTTTGGTTTCGTTTTGATTTAGCATGTGCAATACAGTGCATAACGAAGTATATACTTACTGAGCAATTTAGGTACATAGCTACTTAGTAATTAAGTTTTACCAACTGTTGTTGTTGCCTACCAACCAGGACCCCTGGTAAATACTTTACAATAAATAACCTAAGTGAAGTCACGGTTCAAACCAGGATTAAAAAAAATATTAATTACAGTCGTGGTCTATACAAGGAATATTTATCCTTCGACCGGATTTAAATTATTATAATTAAAGTCAATTAATACAATATCGACGGCCATTAATAAATATTTTCCATTCATGGTGATTCAGAAACGTTATTAATTTGTTGCTAGGTAAATAAGTAATTTAAATTACTTATGTCTAGAAATTAAAAATATTAGAAAAAAATAAGTCATTCTAATTTGATACCTACAATGAAATAAATATAAGAAGCAGTCTTGTTTTTTGTCATAATTACTTAACCGTCAAAAAAATTACTTAGGCACTTTAACTTATTGCAAATTTACACGTATTGTTGTTGAATGTTTACATTTTGTATTGATAAGATAAATACTCATGAAAAAGTTAATAATAGGTATAATTTATTTACGTATTCAGTATAAATATGGCTGATAATAAATATAATGTTTGCATGTAGGCCAGGTTGCGTGCTCGGGCGGAGTGCTACGTCTCGGGTGGCTTAATTTCGCTTTATTTTGACATCGACGAAGCCGACGCGCCGTTCCGCCCCGTAACTCTGTGGTTATGAATGAACGTGTTTTGGGTGATCGTAGAAAGCGTTCTTTGTGTGATCATCCGGCGCGGTATGAAGCGCCCGCGGCGGAAACGTGCCGCATAGCTGAGGCCGGCTCGCGAACTCGCGATGCAACACGACCGCAGTCTTGAGCAATGCCGTGCACTAGGTATCCCACGAGAGCCTTGAAGCTCTTTGTTTCGACTCACGGTAGAAGGGTTTTTTCCCAGTTTTAATTCGTTACGCTTACTTAACTTTCTGACACAACCACTAATTGAATGTGGTTTGCCGAGCTTCTATTTTTAGCCAACCCTAATTACTGTTTTAGAAAACAAAATAATGGGAGTAAACAAATTCTAAACACGGGCCATTGTTTCTATATTTAGAAGAAAATTAGCTTATGCAAATTATTTATTGGATTACCTGCTAAAGTTTGTCTGCTGTACAAAGTATTTATAATTTACTGCCTCGTTCTTGCTTGTTTATTATTACATTATAGATCAAAGTTCTTATAAAGCTAACTACCTATCGAGTTAAATGGGTGGATTATATGACTACAAAGTATGAAGTAGTAACTTATAATCACGCAACGATAGTGAAATAATGTACCTACAGCATTAACTATTAGATAGCTGCCATACTCGGCGCTACGAGCTAATAAATATGAAATAAATTACAAAACAGACATTTATGTAAGTAGATGATAAAATACTACACATAATAAAATTCGCATTCCATAAGTGAAAATATTCACCTAACATCATAAAACATTGCCAGGTGTAATAAAACAAATTATATGACAGAGATTCTTTGAAAAATTCGCATTACTTAAAAATGTATTACTTCTCAAATATACCTACCTATGTATATTTTGTTTACGAACATGTTAAGCACCTAAGCTAAAAATGACATTAATTAACGGACTCTGAGGTGAGTGACCTCTTAAATAGAGTTAATGCAAGGAGTATTGTTAGGGTGGAGAGAGAAAAGTCATGAGCAGAGTTCGCGTAAGATGATTAAACATTTTTAATATAAACGATAACTTATGAAGAAAATCCGTACTAACAACGCTACTTTTTTGGGAACCAATCTAAACTATCTAATATCTAAACTAATATTATAAATGCGAACGTAGGTTACTCTGTCTGTCTTTTCTTCACGCCTAAACTACTGAACCGATTTCTGTAAAATTTGGTACAGACGTAGTTTGGAACTCGAGAAAGGACATGGATGGAATGGACAATAGTTTTATACCAAAAATCTGCAGGAAGTCACTATTCCACGCGAACGTAGTCGCAGGCAAAAGCTACTCTTGAATAACTGGGACTACAACTATTACTTGCACTGTGCACTTGTGATTAGCGGTCTACGCAAAAGTACAAATTATGAATTTAATAGATACCACCGCATTTGGCAAAAGATCTATCCCTAGAAGATAAGATAAGATAAGATTATTTATTTGCTTAGTAGCAGATTTAGAAGCATTAAACATTATCTATGATCCTTTATCCCTGTGACAATTGGTAATGTCAAAACGAAAACGATTATGCCAGAAATAAGAAAAAGATGTGATATCAACTTCAACCTTTCTTTAGGAGCAAAAAAAAAGTAATATTCTAAAGAACAAATCAAAATAAATGAAACCTAACGTAGATACTATTGTCTACAAAGCTCTTTACAAATGAGAAGCCATTTCTGACAACAATTCTTTTCTTTCTTTTTTATCTAAATATATTGCCCCAGACTAGGAATTTCCCCTGTGCCATGGGTGTAGACAATTCGACATACACATCAAAAACCAGACTTGGAACACCTATTTGTGGATCACATCACAAGGAGATGTTCCGTGCGGGAATCAAAGCCGCGACACGTTGCCGCGCCATCGTGTTAGCTACGTAGTTATGTTCAACAAGTATTATTTTTTTATTTATTAAAACGTTTCCCCCATCTAGGGGGATTTTCTCTTACGTCGTGGTACCCATGATCGAAACAATTAATTTGTGGATTACACAAAGTGTTGTTCCGTACGGGAATCTAACCCGCGCCACCTTGCACAGCAGCTGCATCAACCATGCAATCGAACATGCAGTCAACAATTTTCGAAGCCAGCGGAAGATTTTACTATAACAGTTGTTTGTCAACAATAGAGGCTGAAAAATAACTCACCATATTCAGGAAGTACGGTACACATATGCGCATGCTGAGGATGCTGCGAGGGGTGAGGACACATCTCCTGCGGGACGTAGTATTGTTCCGGAGGGTAGTACTCTCCGTAGTAGCCGTCGCCAGGGCCACCCCCGCCCCCGCCACCCTCTGCGACCCCCACGCCAACCATGGTGGGCACTAGCACTGCATGGCACGCTGCCGTCCACGCCGCATCTGACTCAAACGACAACGATCTGTGGACAAAACATAAAGCTATTAATAATTAACATACTTAATTTAACTTTTGTGTAGTTAATTAGCTTAGAAAACTTGTTTATCACAAAAATGATATAAGCAGCTGATAAAAAAGGCATGGTATTTTCATAAGACCTCCTTTTCAGTGTGTCATAACATTTTTGAGGGCACTAAATCACAGCACAGATTGCTAGAAGCATTACGGATTTGGGACAAATCTATCTAGTGCCAGTATGAGAAGCATTTTCTCACATCTTCACAATCTTCGCATCATCATTGGATAAAGACAGTGTTAAGTACCAACTCTAATTAAATTATGATGGCTATCAAAGTTTCTGAACTTCTGGTGTTATTAAAGTTCCGTAGTCGACTGGACCGTTACAATTTGTCCGTTCACCCGATCCCGATGTCATCGTCGTCACGCTTTTTTACCTTAATGGGTGAGCAGAAATATAAGAGGTATTCAAACATGACGCTACCATATTCTTTCGACCCCCTTTAATAGCTAGGCAGTTGTTTCTTTAGTTTACATGTGCGAATTTTAAGAAACTTAGAAATAATTAATCGGTGTATCTAGAAAAATCCAATGACGCAGATACGCATAAAATTTTACCAAAACGATGAGACATACTACATAAACATCATGACTGGAATACCTAATATTTACTAACACAACATAGCCTTAGTATCCAAACTTTTTCATAAAAACCAAAAACTTGCAAGAAGTATTGCATCACTATTCAAAGTTGATTTTGTCTAGCTAGCAGATGCATTAGTGTTGGGAGTTGCACAAGGCACGTCGTAACGTAACGATATCGATACATCCGTGTGAGCACGTCGTGACCGTATTTGCCTTTTAAATGGGGTGCTGTCATGGAACCTCACGAGTTCTGCGTGGATGAGCTCGCAATCTGTGTCAGTGATTGTGGTAAGAGCGGAGCTCCTTGAAACTGCACTGCTGATGCCTAGACGATATAAAAAAGTTGTTTAAACTGCGCGCCTCAAATATTGCTCCAACTACCTCAACTCTGTATTTTTTTAATTAGCACATTTTCGTTAATTAATTTATTATTCGCTTACGCAAATCATACGGTGTTTTCTAACAAAACAACGCGGCACCGTGCTGACAGAACTCCGAAATTAGGTAATCGCAGCAAAAAGTCGATTTCTTATACGAGTTATACGCCTTCTGCTTCATCGAAAAAACGTAAGTAAATTGATGCTCATTTTACATAAATTACGATATACATTTTTGTTTGTGTATTTCCATTTATGTATCGGATTTCAAAGAAACGTTTTTCCTTGTAGCTATCAACTGGAGGTAATATTGAGCTTCACGATCAAAGTAGAAAAAATAGCATTCAATTGGTAATGTTCTAGAAGCATAGGTACCTGTTACGACTTGACTAAATAAGCTTTGATTTTTATACTCAATAAGTAAAAGAATTTAAATAACTCTTAAAATAACCAAAACCAAAGTCTATTTTTTTTTTTGTTTTGTTTACATCATCACAATAATTAAGGTTAATACTGTGACATTCGCGCGCAAATATTAACTTCACGGTAACGCGTATCGCACACGTGCAATAATTCAAGTAACTTGATCCTTATAATATTTGTTTGACTAATTGTTAAGGTTTTGTGTGAGAATGCATGAATGAGTCGACTGTGGCTGCGTCCGCGCACACGTTGAGTCACCAAATCAACAAATTGTGGAGTCATTCATGTGCGTGGAAGGGCACATTGTGGTCGCCCAGTTGCACTGTTAAAAACTGTTACAATATGCCATTAGGCTAACGCTATTTATTCGTTAACTATGTGTCATTGCCATCACACCTATAAATAAATTAATTATTAATTAAAATACACGAGATGGATTGATACAATCTTTAAAAAATACCAGCGGTTCGCACTGGCTTCGGTTTGTAAGAACGAATTTATTCGAACGTTCCTTTTTTTCTTTTAAACTATTTTTATGACAATAACGAACATAACCAACTAACTAGATATTCAATTTGTTGCTACCCTTTAGTCGTACCTAGTAACTTTTTCTATACTTATATTGTTTTGGGCTTGGTCATAATTCAACGACAAATTATTTATCCTTAAAATCATACGTCTGTACATGGTCATTCATTACTCATTTACAGGCAAACAATTTCAGGTTAGGTTAGGTTTCCTGTTAGTTCGAAAAGTTACTATTTTCCTCTAAGTACGGACACAGTCCGTATAATGTATGACGTCAAAGACTAAATTTTTCAACGAACTACCGTCATTCGTGGAGCAACGTAAGTCAAATTTAATTTTAAATGGAAAATTACTCAGATGGCTTTTGTACACATGTGTACCTGTACATTACTGAAGATACCTACACGTTAATTATTAATAGGGACTTGGTAGTTAGGTAAGTACCGACCTAAGTACACAAGTTGGCAATTTACTTCCTAACGACTCGATTTATCTGTCGGTACCTTCGATAAATCAACAGTTTGATGCATTCTACACATCAAAATACTGATTGATAAAAATAATCAAAAATCTTAACAGCTATCAAAAGATTTGCGCACTTTTGATAAGTTAAAAGCAAGAGAAAAAGGTCATTTTTAATTTTAAAAGAAAGTTCCATCCTTTTTACCCTCTGATATTCTGAAAGCACTGAAAGCAAAAGCAGCCAATCTTCACAAAGTAGAAAATTAAAAGAGAAATGATAACTTCATTCCAGTTTTAATCTTCTTAAACATTCAATAAGAACCAATTAATTTATCTTTTAAAAGGAAAGTAAAGTCTTTGGCACCAATAAACTTTTTAGGTGGAATATTGCCGTTTTCCGGTATCACTTATTCACAGCTGCCGGAGGAAAGATTAAAGACCTTCCCCGTGGCTATAGCGGCGGATACAGATGATTAAATGATAACAAACATTTTATTTCTTATCACCCGGCACGACACGACATGCAACTCAATAGTTATCTGTGTGCGTTTGATAACTGTGTTATAGATATAGAAACCTTTGCATTTCCGTTGGACAATTACACGCTACATAACTCTATAATGTAGTGGAGTAAACAGTACACTTCTTGATATTTATGCTCGCCTAGTACCTGAGACACTGAATCTAATGGATGGCTCATCATTTAAACATTTATATTTTGTTGCAAACGGTATTTGGTGCGGCTTGTACGACTATTCGGCCCTAACAGGAAATGTCAGATCAAGTTCAACATTTTGTTATTCGTTCTGCCGATGCCGAAAGCGAGGTTTTGTAAAGGTTGAACAGATTAGGATGATAACACACGTATATCTTGATAAGGGACGACAGGATTAGTGGCAGATCAGATACATCTTCGTTGACAATGGACACAGGTTATATTTAAAACAATACCTTAACAAAGAGTCGGTATTGATTTTTTGTACTTAAGCAACAAAATTCGCATTAAAAATATTATTGCGAATTTTGTTGTTTTCGAACGAAAATGGATTGAGATTTCTAAGAAACATTGACATAGAAAACATTCAAGTGATACCAACAATAAATGCTCATTATCACATTATTATTCACGTTGTTGATATTATTTCCAAGAGGATTTTCCATTCCGGCACTAATTAATACTTTGGCTATCTACTACAGATGGGGCATAAGTATATTTTTTCTAGAAATGCAATTTTAGGTACATTTTAATGATGCCTTTGGAAGTATTACAATATCTAAATGACCTAATGATATATTCACTAAAGTAGAGAGTCAGGGCAATGATACCACTTTGTTGGTTTATTAATTTATACAAGCCTTAAGTATAGCTACTTTTACTCAATTACATGAAATAAACAAAAATATCATAAATGACTTGTGATGATCATTAGCAATGTAGTCACTAAGTCATACACAAGATTTCATCATAATTATTATTTGTTAAGTTCTCAAATTTACTGTCGTAAGCAACAAGCCGATAGCAATAGGTATCAAATAGTATTTTGCTGCGTACAGAACCCACAGGTAAATCCCCTAGCAATATGACACGGCGATAACATCGAAATGATGAAATACTGTTCACAGTACAATGCTTACTGCCCTAATTATCCAATAGATAATAATGTAACAACAACACAACTTTACGACCATAACAACATCATACCGCAATATTAGACTGTATAGACTCGAGGCTATTTTTACACGTTCCCAGCCACTCAATCATCAATTGACACATAATTATTCCCTTCACACACCTTCCGCAATCATTCACCTTCTATATTTCTCTTTAAAGCCATTCAAGGACTCATAATAAGGTATTTCTATTCTGCCACTAACTTCGCTTTAAATATTTAAAATTCCATTATATTATTCCGTCAATTCTCACTCACCCATTCAGCCAGACCATGAACATTCAAATATTTTATTAAACCAATATGGCAGGAAGCATAGCCGTTAATTGATCGTTTGCGTTATCGAGACAGCCTTGACTCGAACCGCGACCGAACCACACATGCATTCTTAACTAATTCGATATGATTATAATTCGCAGCCGAATAGTATAGCTGGCTATACGAGCCAACCTTGAGCCTTGCACATATCAATATTGTTACTATACTGTTCTGAGAAGCACACTTCCTCGCGATCAGGGCTGCCAGCTGCGCAAGCGGCTAGCTAAACAACTGACTCATAAACGAGCTCGACCATAAAAATACACCTTTATCTTCTAAAATAGATACCTGCGGTTTTTTTATGAAAATTTTCTATCATGTTTAGACCTGGTTGCATCATAAAGCATACCTAACACGAACAGAGGCCGGCCGGTAACGTGATAAAGTACTCGTGGCGAGTAGAATCCGCCTCAGACGGCCAGCAAATAACTAGTAAACAAATACAACGTCGCAGCAGACAATTTCCCGTCCCCCTGAATTCTCAAGTCGTTCATCTATTGCTCTCGATCTTGTTCAATTGAATAAATGCAGGGAGGTGATGGCGTGGCGCTGGCGTGGCGTTCGCTATTAACGCCGGATCC